CCCCAAAACCCCAAAACCCCAAAACCCCTTGTTTCAATAAAATCATTAAAATAAAGCTTGGAAATAATAAAATTAAGAATTCAAAATGTTAAACGGTGGAAAATAAGCGATCTCTAAGAACTCTGGCATGAATTTGAATAAGAACGAGAGCTCTGAAGATTTGATGCGCTAGGAACTGGACGAAGGCAGGGCTAGCTACATGACTGAATTCAACATTAGGAGCCCTAACATTCAGAAGAAGAGGATGGAATTCGGCAATAGCAGCGGAACTTCTGGGTTGATGAATGAATATGTTTGGCAATTTTCAAAGAAAAATTATAATAATCAGGATGGGATTACTCTCGAAACTGATTTCACTAGACTAGACGTAAGGGTCAGCAAGATTGCAGACAAATGGGCGAGATCTATTGTCCTAGATAGTAATTCTCAAGCTTGTTTACGGTTTTACTATAGAAAAGGGAAAGTTGTACCAATGGTAGTCTTTGGGTAGATTCGATGAGGATTCAAAATAATCCCAACATCAGCCAAATGAAGAAAAGTTACTGCAAGAAATTTAGGCACAAATAGATGGAAAACCACTTTAACGCTAAGTCATTAAGGACATCGCCTGTAATTCCAGCTGTCTATTCCTAGCTACTGGTAAGCATTACTATTTTTGATATAATTGTATCAATATCTTTAGAGAATGGAGAAGTTTTGATTGGCAAAGTAAAAAATCAAGAAGATGAAAACGACAAAGTAAATAATAATAATGCATTTGAAAAAAGACTCAACAAGATAAGAAGTACTGACAAAATAAGTTTCAGCTTCTTCAAGATGAATTCTATCTAATCTCACTTTATATCTCAAATATCCTGTGGAAACAACCATGCAATACTTTTGACCTCATCAGGATTTGTATACTCTTTTGGAAAAAATCACTTAGGTCAGCTTGGACATCCATCATAGAGTGAAGATTTAAATGAGCCTCTAATTATTTTCTCACTCCTAAACTTAAAAGTGTTTTCTATTGCTTGTGGTAAGCATCACAACATAGTGATTGGATCTTCAAGAGACACAATGGCTTCAACATTTTAAATCTATTCTACTTAAAATGCCCTTTTTACAACTATTGATAAGAATAAAACTTTAGTTTACTCATGGGGAAATAACACTCATGGATAACTTGGATTAAACGATACAAATGATAGAAATACTCCTACTCTTGTTGAGAGTGTACTTGATTATAATTTCAAGAAAGCACATTGTGGTAGCTATCATTCGGGACTGCTTGAGGAAAATGGATGTTTATTTATGTTTGGTAGCAACCAATTTGGATAGACTGGTGTCAATTCAGAGTAAGATCAGTTAGAGCCATAGTCTTTATTTTCATATTATGAGCAATCCAACGAAGAAGGTAGCACCTATAAGTCAAGTGGACATCAAGATCAGTTTTAAATGATCATCACAAAATTTATCTTGGATTTTAATTGCTCCTCAAATTCAACAATTTGCTATACAGACGAATAAGAAGTATTATTATGGGGAAAAAACTTTTTTGACACAAAAGAGGCATAAAATTTCTATGAACCTGTAATTCTGCTGAAAATAGATGAATCTATTCTCAATCGAACAAGAACTGATAGCTAAATTGTAGATAGGATATAAACTCTTAAAAACGAGGGGCTATTGATATTTTCTAGATAAAGTAAGTTTAAAATTATTGATTAATTTTATGTCAGAGACTGATAAAGATGAATCAGCAGGTAATTCAGGTTAGAAATCTGATGTTTAGGATCAAAGTTTTGCCAGTAGCTATATGAATAGAGATCATTCTTTTTAAATGAGTTAGGGCAACTCGTTTTTGAAAAATTAAAATTATGGAAGTGGTAGGAATGGTTTATTCTAAATGCCATAAAATTCTGGATAGTATTCAACAGGTATTTCATTTAACAAAGAGTTTGAAAATCTTCTACAATATATTGCAATTACAGCAGGAAATACAAATATGCCTGATGGAATAAAACCAATGACTTTTAGGCCAAATAATTTGCCACCTAAAACCAATGAGGAAGAAAAGCTTCATTAAAAACTAGTAGAGGATAACAGAAAACAATATCTTAAGAAGGTTCGTGACAGAGAAAAAATGATGGAGAAAAAAAGAGTAGAATAAGAGAAGAGAGAAAAAAGATTACAAGAAATGAAAGAAATTTGGGAAAATGATTTACTCCCAAATTGGGATTAAGTAAAAAGGACTAAAAGAGTAAGAGAATTATGGATTGAAGGATTGCCATCAGTTATAAGAGGCAAAGTTTGGTTCTATGCATTTGGAAATAGAAATTCAATCTCTAAAGATTTTTACTATATTATGGCAGATAAAGGAAAGTAAGTAAAATAGTTCTTATCATATTTCTACAGAAAACTAAGGAAATTATTGAAAGAAATCACTATTGTTGATTAAGAGATAATTGATAATGGCGGTTAACCACGGACAGGATATGGCTCATCTGACAAAGAAAATGAAAATTTATAGTCATCAGGATTGCTTACTGAGGAATAAAGTAATTTATAGAAGCATTATGTTAACAATAACCTATAGAGTTAAAGTAAGGATAATAAGCATAATTTGGATCGCCGAAACTATAAGAACTAAACCAGAGATATGATAAATTAAGAAATAAATTAAACTTTTTAATCGGTATCGAAAACTAGACTATTTAGAACAGAGAAAGAAGTATTAGTATAATAGAGACTGATCTACCAAGGACCTTCCCCTTACTTGGACTATTCAAACAGGGAGGTATGCACTATGAATAACTATAAAGAATACTAGAGGCATTCACATTACATAGGCCAGATATTGGTTATGTGTAAGGAATGTCTTACGTAGCAGCTGCTCTACTTTTATACATGGATGAACACTCTGCTTTCATTACTTTTTGCAATATGATCACTAAATATCCTATAATGCCCTTCTATACATTCAACGAAATATAAATAAGAAAGCTCCTACAGTTATTTAAACAAGTATTCCAACATAATCTTCCAGATCTTTGTGAACACCTTGAATCTGAAAATATATAACCAAAATAATACGTCTATGAGTGGTTTATGACAGTATTTACGAGAGCGTTAAATATTAGTTTACTCAGCAGAGTTTGGGATTTCTACTTTTTGGACGGAATATTCGTCCTTTTCCAAACTGCAATAGGTAAGTAATATATAATCAAGCATAGATTTATCAATGCAGAGGGATTAAACGTGCATAGCATGCACATAGTCTTCCTTTTACAAAGTTTACAAAATAAAAATTAAAAATAAATTTTAATTTATTTCTTTAGCCATTTTAAGAATACTGGAGAAACCACTATTGCAGCAAGATTTTGAAGGAATCATGAAAATTATCAAAAACGTATCCGATTATGTTAATGATGAAGAGGAATTAGTAAGCTTCATTTATGATGTGAGTTATCCAAAGTGGATATACGATGAGCTACCGAAGCTAGAATTCGAATTTTTGAAGTAAATCTGATAAAAAACTAAAGCAACTTGTAGTGAGAGTTTGAATTATAAGTGAAATAAATTAAGTATTTTATTTGTCTATGAATAATTTTTATAATTCGTTAAAAGATGGAACAATAATTGAATGAATAAAGCACAGTCGTCTAAGAAGAAAGCAGTAAAAAGGGACCGATAGACCAGGTAAATTTGTCCAAGAGCAAGCAAATGCTTAAGAGGTATATCGCCGAAATGGGAAGCATTAAAGAGGGCAAGGGACTGAGCTACCCTGAAAGGCCATCTCACTAAAGTCAGATCAAAATAGTAGCTCCTAAGCCTGTTAGGGCGAGACCTCTCGCGGTAAATCACATGACTCAATTCAAATGGATCGAAACTTCACCAGTCAAGAGTGAAAATACTGATTTATCGATTGCAATTTAAGAAGAGAAGAGTAAAAACATTTCTTAAGAAACTCAATTGAAAGTTGATACTCATAATAAAATGCCGAGATTAAACTTTTAAATTGAATAAAATTTGAGTTACGAAGATGAATCCCTTCAGATAAAAAGCAAAGGCAACAACTCACCAATGAGCTAGCTTCAATCTATCATGGAAGCTGAGCAAGAACTCAATGAAATATTCTCAAAGAATAAGAATGGCAGAAACAATGACTTTAGCAGCGGTAGTTTTCGTTTAGCACCACCATAATGGAGCCCGAACAAGAATTGTGATTCATTTTAAATGGATAATTTAAATTCAACAAATGACAGCTAGATCTCTCAGAGTACAGCTGGATTTTCTAAGTTCGGCCACTTCAAGGCACCCATTAAGAGGCCATCGTGAAACCCAATAGTCAAGGACGAGAGATTCAGAAAACTTAACCTTGCAAATGAAGAATGCTAGAGTCAAAACACTAACAGCAATTTCTAATTCAATCCTAAGAATTCACTCATTGGTGGTGGAGTCCATTGCAATTCGCAAGAGATGATTCCCTCATCAAGAGTTTCACAAGGAATGATGAACACCTAAGATTCCTAGAACTGTACAAACTATATGTTTGCATTCTCTCAAACAACTTCGCCAACAGCATACTCCAATGGAATAAATCCATTTTCATTCGTTGAACAGCATTCGGGGGCATTTTCAATGAATAATCAGAGCTGGTTAAATGGTAGCATTTATCATCACTAATAATATGATTAACAGCAATAACAACAATTCGCTCATGTGAATTCTCACATGCAGCAAAACAACTATAATGACTCATTGTAAATGTAAGCATAGCAGCAGCATTATAACCTTTAATAACAATTCTCATCTCTAAACATATCAAATTCAGCCCCTGAGTTTAAAAACAACTACCTCTAGCATTATTCCGCACATTACTCGATACAAAACACAGAATACCAATAGGATAACTTAGGTATGTAGTAGTAACATCTTAACCCATAACAATACTTAACCTAAACTCAAATTGATTATGATAATCATCATAAGATTTGTTTGAGTGATAGGTCACACCATCCTTAGGCATATGCTAGCTACTACCAGAATTGTATCACTACTGGGACAAATTAAGTGACTCACGCCTCTGCCATTGATTCTAATTTACAAAAAGAATTCATGCATTAATCTTCTAGCACAGTACTTTAAAGATCTCGAATGATGAATTAAAGTATTTAACAGTCGAAGCAAGAAACTTTTTGAAATAGAGCTTTGATAGAGCAAGTTAATCAGTTGCCCTTAGAACATAATGGATGAGATAGTCTCAAATATAAGATAAGAAGTTTATAAATATCTCTATGTATAGACAATCATCGCTATAATTTTTATTAACAAGTATTATAAATATTTCTAAAAATATTCACTAATCATTCACTCTCTTTAAACTATCTTTACAAACTTTTCATGGGGTTTTGGGGTTTTGGGGTTTTGGGG